GGGCGGTGTGTGCTGGCGGCATGGTGGGTGGCGTCGGGGGGGGGGGGGGGGGGGGGAGCCGCAAAATCTCGAACTTAAAACTTACACTCACTATTTTCTTCGAAAATATATGTGAGTTCCACAAAATTAGGTCTAGAAAAATTCATTATCCTCAGATACACATGTTTTAATTGTGTGATATGACATCGCCGACGAATAATTTTTGTCATCAACAGAATTATATGCAGTTATATTTAATGAATTGCATTTTCTTAAATTGTCTCATGGCACAAATACTCTTGTTAGTGATGAAGATGTCCTCTTATTTAGAACAAAGTATGCTGATTTATGCTAAAAGATAAATACTCAAATGTTATATTGTCTATTATTTATAGGGCGAAAATGCATCTACAGTTTTTACATTACTAAGAAGAAGTAAAACAACTAAATATACGAATACATATATTTTCAATGTTGGTTTTACAGTTCTTCTTGTTTTTTGTATTGCTTTTAGTATTTGTATGCCATTGACTCTTTTTAAAAGAAGAAAATATGCGAATGTGATAATAGGTTCATAAGAAGCAAAATAATACGCGATAAATATAATTTCTTATAAATTTCTCTTCAACATCGAATAGTAAATCATCAAATAAATAAAACTAAACCATAATGATTGGAAGAATTAGTATTTCACTTGAAGAATAAAATATCTATTATTTATTTTTTATTCTTTCACCTAATAGTTTTGTTTAGAAAGTTAAACTTCTTTTCTTTTGCTTTATTTGTTTCGATTGTGAAGTTTCATCCTACAATTATCAATATAAATGAGAGAAAAAACTCATGAAAAGACAAACTTTTCAGCAGTCAATTTATGGTTGACACAATTTTTTTCTTGCATCGTCGATATATGTCTTTAATTTTTCAATTCTATCAGTTTCTTCTCTTGGTGTGGGTGGGTGTGGGTGTGGGGTGTGGGGTTGGGTGTGGGTGGGTGTGGAGAATATGAGATACTCATACACATCCACACCCACCCACACCCCACCCACATAACATCTGTTTTTTTTTGTATATATGTATATATATCCACAAAAAATAAGAACAAGGCGAAAAGTAACTTTTCTGTTTTCGCGGATGTACATAAAATTTTGCATATAAAATAATTGTCCGTGTATGTATCAAAAAAAAGAAAGAAAGTAAACAATATATAACTTTACTTTGAACAAAAAAACCGATAAAAAACGTTTATCGTCGGTTTGTATTGTTGTTTGACTTATCATAACATTTAGTCATCAATGATTGATAGAAAAAACCAATGTTGACAATTTCTGGAGCAATATCACCTGTGACATCAACATCATCGGGCCATTGTAAACCAAATCCAAATTCTATCAAGAGCCTAGCATATTGTTGACAATTTACTACACTACTCCAACATTTTATTCCTGAATTACGTTGTATTAGTTCATGATAAACAGCTTCTCCCTAAAAACGATCAAAACAAAACGAAAAAAGTTGTTAGTTCTTATAGAAAAATTCAGTAGAGAAATAATAAATACTTACTAATGGTATTAAATACATATTGCCACGTTCATTTGGAGGACGATGCATTGAACACAAGTTTGCATAGAGTTGGGTTACCTAATGGGTTTGAAAAAAAACATTAGAAGAAAGATTCTATGTCGATGGTTGAAACTTACAAGTAAATCTTTAAATACATCTGGAATCATTTGATTGTCACTTACAAGTAGATTTTTCAATGCATTTGGAATCATATGAACATCAACAAGATATGCACTAGATTCAAATTGTCCAATTATACGATATTCAATTTGACTTTTTTCGACAACCTGTGTTACATGATCGAATTTTGTTACTGATGGTACACTTTGTACTGGCCGATCAACAACAGCGTGAAGCAATAATCCTTGTATTTCTTTTGCATTTGATTCACCTGCTAGATCAACGATAATTGACATATGTGATTTTTTACCTTGAGAAGGATTATGTTTGATAAGATATACGATATTTGCCATAGATTGAGTTTTAATCAAATTTGGTATTGATTTATGTTGTGGTGCTAATTCGAAAGGTGCGATTCCCATAAATTCCTTTTGCAGCTAAAAATAATCTGGAATGAAACCAAAAATAGTTGAACGTAGAACTGAAGAAGTTCTGAAATAAGCTATACTAGAGACTAAACGTTAAAGATGTATTCGAGAAAAAAACTGGCTATTCGTTGTTTTTTGGTTTGATCATTTATCAACGAATAGAAAAATAGAAAAAATAATGTCACTTGTTGACATAAAGAAAAAAAACGATTTACATGTATGAAAGAACTTAGGCAAAATAAAGAAGAGAAAAACAGTTGTAGTAATACCACTCGTCAGTAGTAATAGAAAACCTGTGGCCCACATCAGGCCTGACACTTCTGATTAATCGATGATCTTTTTTATGATCTTTTAATTCATTTTTTGACATCAATATCATCATTTTTCATTTTTAAGATAGATGTGACTCAAGTTTTTTGTACTGATGTTAATCGATCAAATATTTTGAGTTTATTTTACTGGCAACTTTTGTACCATTGACTCCACTGAACACGACGAAAAGAAAATAATAGTCATGAACGAAAAAAAACGGACACTTTTAATAATTGATTTTTATTTAGTTAGATTTTGAAAATTTCTACATTTTAGTAAAGGATGTAGACTTTTCCAACGGATCTAATAGAATAATGATCTTAATTGTTTTTTCTTCGAAATATACCATGAAAAAAAATGATTAACTTGAGAAAAAAAAGTCAATCAGAAATCATTAAATTAATCTATTTTATATCTAAATTATGTTATTCTCATTTCAGAGCATCATCAATATATAATTATTTATCTTTAAAACGACCATTCAATTCAGAAATTATATTAAGTGACAAAAATACTACTAATGATAAACTATTACGGTGTTAAAATAAATATTAGATAAAGTATCGTCTTTCAAAGCAAGATTTGAATTCACTGAATGATGTTCGAATATTTTGTTAATGTTTATAGATTCATCGTAAAATTTATTACGATCTTTGCACATATATAACGGGTGTTCCATAAGTTGGTAACTTCCATTTTCGCCGACGTCCACTTTCACCGATTCCACTTTCACCGACTTCCATTTTCGCCGATTCCAATATCGCCGACTAATTTTTTTGACCGAAAATTACCATGTCAAATATGAATCATTCTATATTGAAGAGTTTTTTCCAATTTAATAGATTTATTAACAAACTCATTAATTACCATCTGAGTTGATAACTAAGTCGGTTAGAAACAAAGGACAACAAAGCCACTCATCTGTAGTTTATGGATGAATGCAGCTACGACGTCATGTTTCGAACACTAAAGTGTATATACGAAAGGTAGTTCAAATAGACGTTTTGACATATGTGTTAATTTCGTTTATTCGTATAGGTAACTATTTCGTACAAATAACAAAAAACAACGTAGCTAAATCTAATCGTCACTGTGAAACTGAAAAATCAATCTTTAGCCTTTTTTGCACATTTATGCCCAATTGTAGATGATTTTTCATAAGAACGTTTACATCTTGTTTCAGTAGAAATAGTTGTGAACTGATTCCACATTGCAAGTTGAGCAATAAGTCGGTTTTGCTTTTTAGTTATATTATCGTTTTCTGTTTGAACCAAGCTAGAAACATATACACAGTAAATATGCAACATTTATTATATATTATCCAAATTCTTGTATACCTTTGACTTCTGAAGTTCTCATTTGAGTTAGTATCATGGAGATCAAAAGTCGTATTTTGTGTCTGTAATGATTGTTGATGAATATTAAGATCTCTAAAGCATATGAAAAATATTTCTGATCGAGAACAGAACTTATAAGATAAAAAAACTTGGTTCTTTGTCAGTTAGCAATTGATAATTTCACAAACGTACTTATCTAAATGATGAGTATCGGTAGAAACTTGGATGATGGATCGCTGATCATAAGACTCATGATCAGAAAAGACACTATCCTTTTCGTGGTTTTCTTGATTTCGTTCATCAGCTTGAGCTACATTATCTTCTTCATCCCTATAACGTCAAGAGATATTATATTATAGCATATTTTTGTAATTAATTAGCCTTAGAAACGTAGTGCTCTTACATTGATATCGAAATATCATAATCTTCTTCAATCAGATGATTTTTCGACACAAAAGTCTTTTCTTTGATCAACTGGACTACAGGGCTCACACGTTTTCGTGGAATGTCATATAAATTTCTTAATCTATTCCAAAGTGGAAAATAGGGAATACAAAATCCTTCAGTCTTTAACTGTTCAAGACAAGGTTCCATTATTTTTAGGATTTCTTCCTCTACTGACAACACTTCAACAGTTAATACACCAGCCACTATAAAAGAAACAGAAAAACTATAATCTAATAGATTATTAGAATAGTATCAAAATCTGAAACCTGCTTTTTGGCCTTTCTTGATAGTTGCCATCAGGTGAATACGATTATTTCGTCGTTCAGCATAATAAACTTTGCCGTAGTTTAATGGAATACCTTGAGTATCATGAATCTTGCAAAACTGAATCTTTTCACCTTCTTTTAATATGATGCTTTCCATAAATTGCTTTAATTTAATGTCGATCGATTTCATTACAGATGGATATACAGCAGTGGCGTACGTTGACATATTTTTCTTAATATATTTCACTAAGCCATCTAAAGAAAAAGTCATTTTCTTTATGTAAAAGTTTCTTTCCTTCATAAAGCATAATGTTACTTACTCCAGTTTCTCGTTTTCTCTGAAAAAAAGAATTAATAATATGGCATTTTCACATATCGACACGAATATGTCTCGATTGAAAAAAAAACGAAAGGTGATACTATTATTTCACTAATAATCTACAAATATGATTAGATAGATTAGAAATCATTTGATTTTTACATAAAGAAACAATAGGTAAATTTCTAAATTACTAAATAGTGGAGCAAAGTCCTATACGAAAAGTCAACTTTTTGTTTTTTTCGTGTTTCTGATGTTGTTTGCAACACAGCAAGCTAGACCTTCTAATAATTGAGCAGCATCAATCTTTTTGTTTTCGTACAAAATGTATAGTTTGTTTATACGATTTTGATATGAAACTTGTCGAGCTGTTGGTTTCGATTTCTTTTGAGCACCTGTTCGTATGATAACCATTCTTTGATGTGCATGGTATTCTTCGTCAATAAATGTAGCTATTACTTTCCAAACATTTGTATGAGTTTGATTCAATCGTCGAGAGAATCTATTATGAAAATCTAATGGAAAGAAAATTCAATTTATTATTAATATTAAATGAATTGAAAACCAAAGAGATACAGTACGAGTTCCATATTAAATCCTTAACAAATCAGAAAACATACCTTCAGCACAGTTGTTGGTGCCGTGTTGCAGACTTTGAACACAAAACATTTCAGGAGTGATTGTATTAATCCAATAACGTTCGAAATAATTGAAAAGATCACGTAAAATTTCACACAAAACTTTTTCTTCTCGAGCATTTTCTCGTATGCTAGAATCATTAGCAGCCTTTGCAAGCTTTTTAGCTTGTTTCTTACGTTCCTCAACTATATTTACAATATGATCAAACTGATCACGTATCAAATTTCGATACAATAAAGGCAAAGCCATAAGAGATCTCACAACATTTCGTACCCGCGCTGTTGAATTGTATGGCACTTGTAGTCCAATTTCTTGTACCTTCCTATATATCGCCTGGCATGTATGAAAGTAACATCCTACGTGTCTAATATTATCTTTTGGATACTAAACAAAAAATAAAAGATGATGTCAATATCTACAATAAACTGAGCTACCAGATTTTTTTACAGCTTCTATAAATCCACTTTCGTAATCTGGCATGATCAAAGAAGGTATGAATTGCTGATTCATTTGTTCAGCTGCTAATTTCAATTCATCAATAATAACCTTATATGTCTCAGTATTTTTATGAGTGCATAATGTAAATACGCACGGAATTGCTAAATGAAACAGATGAGCTTAGAAGATTATTACCTGAATGTAATTTCAATAACTTACTTTCATCTTCGTAAACGGCGTGCATAGTATAAATTTGTTGAAATTGTGGTGGTGAAGAAGCAAATGTACCATCACAAAATATAACTTCAGAGTTAAAAAAAATTTCGAGCTGTCGATTGGAAGAAAATATCAGAATTCGATCAAATTGTGAGCTGTTACGATCAGCTAGTAAAAATTTCTCTTCGTTTGCATTCATTCGGTACAGTTTTAGAATATCAAATTCATAAGTTTTCGGTATTGTTGGAACAGTATTCGAACGTGCCGAATATAATGCAGACTCTATAAATAAAAAAAAAATATAATTATAAAGAATTCAATAGCAATAAGCTAAACTTTTTAAAATCTTTTCATATTAAGTATTATTCTATATTAACGTTATTAGTTGTTTTAATATACGTTGTTAAACTACTCAAAACATTGACTGAAAGCTAATAAAAAAAAATATTTAGATTACTTATAGATCTGAATGATGGCATCTTAGCCAATTGACTTTGCGTGAGTTTTGCACGTGCAACTTCATAATCATAGATAAAACCAGCAGATAAATGTTCGTTCAAAATTCGATGTCGAATTTTTGCAATAAGTTGACTAATTAGGATTTCATCTGGATCAGAAAAATGGCTGTGTTGTGCTTTGTTGTGTGTTATATAGATATCATCGGATGTGGTGTGAACATATGCTCCACATTCATGATCAATCTTCACATCGCCAGTACTTTTTACCATTTTTTATTTATTTAAAACATATCGATATCCTTCATAAAGTAGAACTTTTTTTCCTTTGGTAGATAAAGTAAATTTAATTTCAGAATTAACTGGTGAAGTTGATTCAAACATTCTAATAAAAACAATATTAATAGAAACAACGATATCAACTTTCTCTGCACGTTAGCTTTGTTAAACGTTCTTTGTTTGATTCCACAAATACATGTTTGTCTAACTATTTAACCTCCAAGAAAATACAGATACTTAAGTACCGCCACAAGTATTTTACGTAAAAATTAAGACAGATGAAACCTTCATCTGGTGGCATCTGTTTTTAACCGACTCAGTTACCAAGTCAGATGGTTACCAACTCAGATGGTACACTCTAAAAAATGCCATGCGTCTTACAAGACGGTTCATGCGTCTATTTTTCATTTATTTTGCTTGAGCGTCTAAAATCGGTCATCCGTTGACACTTGGTACGTCTAGCTGAGACGCATAGTACGT